TGGAACACTACATCAAAAACTAATGATGTACTGTATGGTGACTAACATAACATAAAAAAAAAAAAAGAGTTATCTACTTTAAACGTGTGCCTCGTGTTTCATCCTAGGCTCACTCAGGTTGGATGCTGCCACAACACCAGTCCTCTTAGGGGAAGCTGCCTTAGTCTATGGCAGACACGCAAATCAACTTGGAGATACTGACATCTTTTATTCTAACTATTGTACAGAAACCAGACTCAGCAAAGAACTTTGAAAGAAACCCACTTTTTTTTTTACCCCAAATGAGTGTGATATCTAACAAAAATAACTAATTGAGCATTACAGTTTCCAAGTGCTCTTTCATTACCTATGAGCTCATTGGTCTTCCAAATAGCCCCGCACGATGAGTACTATCACACTCGTTTTCTTTTCTTTTCTTTTTTAAAGATTTTGTTTATTTATTTGATGGAGGGAGACACAGCGAGAGAGGGAACACAAGCAGGGGGAGCGGGAGAGGGAGAAGCAGGCTTCCCACAGAGCAGGGAGCCCGATGTGGGGCTCGATCCCAGGACCCTGGGATCATGACCCGAGCCGAAGGCCAGTCGGAGCCCAACGATTGAGCCACCGAGGTGCCCCTCACACTCATTTTCTATTGTATTGAGACTGGAAGAGGCTGGAGGTGAATTTGACAAAAACTCAGATTTTCTGACTCCAAATTCCCTACAGAGAACAAACCCACCTCTGATTTAAAGCTCGACTACACTTATCGTGGTGAACGGTGAGTAATGTACGAAATGGTCGAGCCACTATGTTGTACATTTCAAACTAATATGACATTGTATATCAACTATACTGCAATAATCAATAAATTAATAAAGCTCAATGTGCTTTTATTCAAGGGCAATATCAAAATTTCGATATTGGGGTTTCTGGGTGGTTCAGTCAGTTAAGCAATGACTCGATTTTGGCTCAGGTCATGATTTCTAGGTCATGAGATCAAGCTCTTGATGGGCTCCACGCTGGGTGTGGAACCTACTTAAGATTCTCTCCCTCTCCCTCTGCACCTCGCCTGCGCTTTCTCTCTAAAACAAAAAAATTGTTGGGCGCCTGGGTGGCTCAGTCGGTTAAGCGACTGCCTTCGGCTCAGGTCATGGTCCCGGGGTCCTGGGATCGAGTCCCGCATCGGGCTCCCCCTGCTCTGCGGGGAGCCTGCTTCTCCCTCTGCCTCTGCCTGCCACTCACCCTGCTTGTGCTCTCTCTGTCAAATAAATAAATAAAATCTTAAAAAATAAAAATAAAAATAAAACAAAAAAATTGTTTATATCTTATGAACTCTATAGGCAAAAATTTCCTCTCTTTCAATGTATTTCTTTGACATACTGTTTACAGAAGAGAGAACAGAGACAGCATTCTGATGTGAACATAGATGAACTTTTCAAGTATGTTCTTGGATCCATGAAACATTTTCACCAGTTCCTCTCATTCGTTATTATAAATGGAGTCATGTGGTCATGTGAATATATATATACAAGAACGAATGTAAACTGAAAGCATCAAAATGCTTTCAAAATGTGATATAAGGGGTTGGGTGCTCAAGTAATATTGCACAATTATGGCAGGTAAGTCCTTAAGAGCAATCTTATTTCATGGGGAGCAACAATTATTCTGAGCTGATTTATGTGACTGAGGAAGAAAAAGAACTTCATCATTTATAGTGACAACAGATCTTTTGACTACATTGAATCATATTTTCTAACTAGTCACTAGGCAGTTAGATTTAATCAAGTTACAAATCTGTAGTAATGGTCAAAGTAGTTGTGCGTGACATCACACTCAGCTTAAAACAAAAAGAATTTAGAAATTAAATATCTAGTACTCAAGCTGAGAGCTTAGTGAGAAGTGTTTATTACTTTATTTTTTATACTTTTGAAAATGTGGTGCATGTACATAATAACAAAAAATTAAAATAGTACAAAACAATACATAGTAAAATTTGTGTATCAGATCACTTGGCCCTCATTCCCAGAGGTAGCCACTGTTAGGTGCTTCTTATTTATCCTTCTGGACGTAGTCTATGTGCAGATAAGCATATATACGTATATGTGTATTTCCTTTCTATGTTTACACAAATGGTAGCACATCACACAGATTATTCTAGATCTTGTTTTTTGCCCTTGATGTATCTTGAAAGTTAGCCTATAGAGCTAATTCATGCTTCTTAACACTTCCATAGTGCTCTTTTTTATAGATGTACTATCAATGAGATATGCCCTACAGATTGGTTCCCCCAGTCTTTTGCTAGTATTTGAAAAATGCCATATTGAATGTCATTGTACATGTGCCTTTATATATGTAGGCAGGTATAACCGGGAAATAAATTCCTAAAATAAAATTTTTGACTCAAAACATGTTGCCTCACTGAGAATTTGTGACATAGTTTATTATTTCAACCAAAAGCTACTCAAAAAAGATTTATCATCATTAAGAGGGAACGGAATCAAGAGTGTTAATGATCCTCCTTCCCAAACATCACACTGAAATGGAGTGAAAACCTTTATCAGGAAATGCAGTGTGCGTACACGTACATGCGCGCGAGTGTGTGTGTGCGTGTGCGTGTGTATGTGTGTGATGTGAAGGTCAGAAAAAAGAACAGGGTAATTTCCATCATTTGAGGTCTAGTTACCCATTAAGACCTCTGGGAGAAAGGCTATCAAAAAACAATAATCCACAAAGCTTCTCTCTTCCTTAAGGCTTTACGGCTCTCACCACCTCTACTGCATGCTGGCATGAAGTGGATGAAAACGATACATGCCATAATAGAGAGAGAGATAGATAGATAGGATAGGTCTCTTTTCTTAATCATGAACAGTGGTCTGTGCAGAGAAAAAACTCCCTCATCCAGATCTGAGACTTCTTATTCCTCAAGGGTATCCTCCCAGTCTTGAGAAAAGATAAGAAGAAATTAGACATATCTAACACTTCTCCATCTTAGGAAGCAATTTCGTAGGCAGCTTTCCTGTAACATCCCACTGCAGTTGGGAAACTCTCCCCGCTTAGCCGAGAATCCCCCGAATTTCAAGGTGCCGAATAAAGGAAGGGTCTGCGTGAGCATAATGTTTGCATGAGATAAAATGTAAAACCCCATCTTTTCTTTCTTTTCACACGCACACCGAAAATTAAAATTACCGAGCATATTTTTCTAGCCAACTGCCAAAAACCTGAAATGGAGTTTTTTTTGGTCTTGCTCTCGATTGCTGATGCTGGCTTCCTTCGAGGCAATTCAGGACAGCATCTGGCTTACCTCATGTTCCACTGAAATACAGGTTCTGAAAAGCAGCCTGAAGATGACATTCTGGGAAGAGGAACTCTGTTCTGGGCAGCGGGGGAGGGACAGGGGAGGCCGGAGCCGGGGGAGGTGTTAATGCAAATGTATTCCCTGGGCTTATTTGCTGGCAGACCCAGCCGACACCCAGCCATTTGAATGGGGGCCAGCAAGCTGGCACGTCTTCTGCTGGCGGAGTGTGAGCCCAGCACAGCATCCTGCTGCTGTTGGCCTGTATACAGCGGTCTTTCTTCATCTGACTCGCCACCACTGTGGCAGACTCAACAGGTGTTGCCAGGGACACAGTGTGCTGGGCAGCTGTCAACTTTCCATAATCATCTCTGTAGCATATCCCTTTCTATTCTCCCACCCTGTCTCCTCTCCCCCTCCAGCCCCTGCACACCCCCAGCACCATTTGGGCCTTTGCAAAGGGCAGAGTCAGGCAAAGATTCTGGTCAAGGTCATCGGGAGGGGGGACCCCTACCTGGGCCTCAGCTCAAGTGCGATAGGATTTTTACAAGACACAGGCTTTGGGGGTCCGCTCAATTATCCTTTCTATTCTATCCCAGCCTAAACTAGTCAGGCCTCAGTTTCCTCATCTGAAAAATGGAGAGACTATTTGTTGTCTATGTCAATGAGATAACATAGACAAAATACGTAACACTAAGCGCCCAGTTCTCAGTGATTCCTCTCCTCCCCCAGCTCCTTTTGAGTTTCATTCTTAAAAACCCTAGGCTTTCACAACCGCCCTTGAATTCCAAAGATGTGAAGCCTTGCTCTGTTCTGGGGCTTCCCTCCCACTCTTGTCAAAGTCGGAGCCAGAAAACACACTGGCCTGTGAAGGTCTGGGGGAGATGCCAAATGGATGTTTTTAAAAGGCAGGAATATACAGTTATTTATATTACAGCCTTGCTTGTAATTCCAGATGTTGGAAATCCCTAAATGTCTATCAGTAAAAAAGAGATAAATAACCGGACAAAGAAATGATGGCATTCTATGCAGCAGGTAAAATTAGATAATTAGATTAGTTAATTAATAAATTACCTGGATCATTTATATAAGCACATATAGCTCCTACTGTAGGCCAGATGCTTTATAAATATTAACTCACTTCAACCTCATGAAAACCCATTATTATTATTGTTATTTGCTGATGAAGAAACGGCATGGAGAAGCAGAGCCCCCTTTATGTGGACCAACATGGACAGATCTTACAAACAAGGCTGGGTGCAAAAGGCAAGTTGGCAGAACTGATGTAAAGTTCAAACATGCTCAAGGAAATATGTTATTCACGGAACACATGTGTAGAAAATTATAAAAACAAGGACAGGAAGAATACGCACCAACTTCATGTCATCGTTGCCTCAGAGCAGGGGGAGAGGGGGACGCATAAGGGAACCCTACTTGTATCTCTAGGATCCCATTTATTTTATTTTTAAAAGGACAGCATGTTAAAATTAGATAGTTCTGGGTAATGCATACAATGTTCTTAAGTAAATTTCCCTCTGTACTTTGTATGGTGAAACAACGTATACACAGAAAAAGGCATAAAATACATTTGTAAGGTTTCACAAACAATTATTAAGCAAAGGCCATGTGATTGCCATCCAGGTCAAGAAAAAGAATGTAAGAGCCCTTGAGGAGCACCATGGATCCTTTCCCAACCGTGACCACATCCTGCACCCCTCCCAGCGCTCACCTCCATCCTGAGCTGTGCGATGCTTATGGCCTGACTTCTCTCCTACGATTTCACCACCTATGTCTGCATCCTCAACAATAGAGTCCAGTGATCCTGTTTCTGAACGGTAACAAGTGGAATCGTGCAGTCGGTGCTCTTTTGTGGCTTTCTTTCTCACGATGTTGTATTCATGAGATGCACCTGTGTTGTTCCTTGCTCATTGTCATTGCTGAATAGACGTCCACATTTAGTTATCCTTTTCGTTCTTGATTGACATGTGGGTTGTCATCTCTGTAATCTTTCAAGCTCAAAAGAAAAGATAGATACTTTGTCCAGTATATTGCGATACCCAGGAAATGAATATCTCCAGATATTTCCTCAGCTTCTCTTTCAGAATGGATGAGAGTAGCCTTCAATGTTTAACCAAGAAAGACATTTTCCTTCTGACTTACTATTGATTTATTTTCTTTAGTTTCTTATTCACAAAGTCAACAGGTTGCTTTTCTTTGCTATTTGATTTGCCTTTACATCGTGAAGTACTGTAGTCCGGAGGGGACTGGCGGGGCCATAATCTAACCCAAGGCCTTTGTTTTACGCATGAGGAAACATGCATCGTGCCCTGCAGCTCATTTGAAAATACATTTTAGTAGCTCTGAGACCTATAGATGGTGACTTGGTCCCTGGAATAGAAGTTTTAAATGTTTTATTGTCTCTGGCAGCTGGTTAATCGTATGTTTAAGAATAAAGCGTTTCTAGTGTTTCTCTGCAGGGCAAATCTACTCTATATGAGACCCATACTGAGTGCCACAAAGATGTTGCCAAACGTCTAAATGAATTTTTCCCCTCCTCATTATTAATTGCTATACAGCATTGCTTTTAAAAAACCACCCCAGGCCCCAGTCATGGGGAGGGACGAGCCCACGAAACAGCATTATTCTCCCAGCACATTCCAGTAATAGGGCCAAGTAGCAAAGGCATTTCTTTATTGTAAGGACCTCAGCAGTGCCGTAAAAGGCATCTTCCTGCTCTCCAATACTGCCATTAATATGTAAAAGCTTAAGCTTGCTAAAGGGATTATTGCACATCCTATCTGATGGTAAACTGGCATTGCAATGATTACATGTATCTTTTCGTCATTTTCTCGTAAAACATCTTAACTCTTGAACAGTATAACTGGCCTCTTACTAATGTTAATGATTAAATCAGCATAAATGTAACACACTGCTTTAAATGGAAGGCATGTTTGCAGTCTCCAGGGTTTTGAATGTATGCTTTACAGCATGGTCATTATATTCATCGTATACGTGTGTGCATGTGTGACAGTCAGTAGAGACACCCTTACTTCCAACCTTCATGGACCCATATACTCTAGCTACTGGAGATCAAGTAGCATATACCAGCCGGTGGCTGGATACATCTACTACTCCCCAGAATACAGTGCTCCAACAGTACAAGAGATCGCGCCCAAGCCTTCGATAGGCTGTCCAACCATTTAAGCAGGCAGGCTACCACTGGGTGATAAAGTACTTGTAACCCTTTGGTCATGAGTCTATGAGTCACTGTTCTTTTTCTATTTTTATTTTTTTGTCAAAAAATGGGTTCCGTGGCCTGAGGCAATTCGTGGGAGCTACAGTGTTGATGGATCAGATGGTAATGCTAGGAGAAGCACTCAAACAGGCAAGTATGTGTTGTATCCGAAGTATGTGTTGACTCCAGTAAGATGAACTGCTGCCCCCTCCCAGGTGTCAGGGGTTAGATGTGGTTGAACGACCACCATGTGGCTTCTCTGAGGAATGGTGGCAGGCTGAAGGTTCAGCATCCACCTCTGCAGCTAGTGGGTTGGACTTAGCAGTAGCAGAAGCTAGCTCAGATTTAATGAGCGTGACTCACATGGTGTTGGGCCATGTACAGCCTCAATCCTTTCTACTATGATCACTACATCCATGGGTCATTCAGCAACCATCAGGATGGCTAAGGAGAAAGGCTGATTAATATCCACAGGATGGGTCAAACTCTTCACCTGTTTGTGAAGAGCCTCTTCTGTGGAGGTCCGTCACAAGAGACTCAAGGGTACACATGCTTTGTGGCATTCCTGCAGGCTTTCTACTTACGTCTTCCCCAGCCTTCCTTGTCGCCAGTCTCCCACTTCTCTTCCTTCTAGACCCCCTCACCAATCAGTCAAACTATTTGCCACGACCCAGGAGCCCATGTACATACCATGTATATTCATCAAACCTCTTCTACCTCCACACGGAATGGACACAATGTACTTAGGAGGCCATACCTAGTACTCATCATCCCCTACCTCCACTACCTCCACATACCTAGTACTCATCATCCCCTACCATCCCCTACCTCCACTACCTCCACCGGTGTAGGTGGCTTGTCTGGTGGGAAAATCCAGACTCTCATCCCTAAGGGACGTGAGTCCCTGGTTATCATGGCCTTCTCAGGCCATAGTCCTGCACTTGTCCACTGATTGTTAAAACTGGACATGGAAGCACCAGAGACACACCAGTGGGTATACTGAACATCAACCATATTCTTCCCTGACCCCATTGTGCAGCAGCAGCCCTGCCTGCTCCTGGTAATTAACCATCCCATAGTGCCCTGCAAGTCAGACCTCCCTTGGCACCACTCCGAGCTTGTTGCTAGTTGTGGTAATTGTACGTACCTTGCTTCTGATGTATAAAGACTGCTAACTATAATCCCTCTTTGTTCTCAGAGAGCCTAGTTCTATAACAGCATCTCTGCCACCACCCCTGACCTAAGCTGGGGAAGAGGACAGCCACCAATAAGCTGCTCAGTGATGCTGGTGCCCCTTGCCTTCCCGCAGAATGGAGAATATATTTGGCTGGTAGCAGTTTTTAGGTTTAAGTAGTATTTCCATCTTCGCATGCCCAGTTCTTTGTGCCTTTTGATCCTTTCCTCTACCACCTGACATTGCCATGCCAGTTCTGGTACTTCTCCACTTAGTGTGGCCATCACTTTTTCCAAGCTTCTAGGAGCATTCCCAGCACTATATCAGCACAGTCTCTGGGATCCTTTGTGATCTATTAAATCTTATTTCACAAGAGATTATTTCCATTTCAAACTCTCCCTTACTTAATTGTATGTTCTACTCTCCTGAGTCAGCAACTCCAGCAATCAGTCCCAAGCATACTACCTTGGCCATAACTCCTTCTGTGTTTCGTCTCTCCTCCTTACTCGGCCTCGCATATCCCCAGTCAGTCAATGCTGAGATTATTGGTCTGGTTATTAGGAGGGGAGGTGGAGTGCAGGGAGGGAGGTAAGAGGGAGATAGCATGGTCTTTCAAGGCACTTGCATGAGTCAAGTCTTCTGCAGGTTCTCCAGTCAAGGGGTTCCACTGTATTCTGACAAGGAGGAAGACCCCCTTCTGTAGGCTTGCTAGCTTCAGGGAATTTGGGAGTTCCATTTTCAAACATAGATTCCTAGACAGCTCAATCCCAAATCACAGGGTCCACTCTGACCTTGGTGTGAAGTTCCACTACCTTTATGATTAAGTCCTGACCCTGGTCCTCCATCTGTCTACACTTTGGCTGTAAGACATTAGGGTCTACTTAAATGTAAACAAGCTGGCCCTTTAGCTTCTGTGTTTTGCCTCAAATTGGTTATTAATCACTGGAGCCTGACCTTTTCCTCTCTTCACCTTATCAGTGGCTCTCAACAATAGCCACACAATTCCGTTGTCCTCATAGAACCATTTCTCCCATGCCTCTTACACAATAGAGACACTGCACAAGACAGTGCGTCCCCTTCCACTGGTCTCCCATCCCAATTTACTGCCAGTGGAAGTTCCAACAATTGCACTGTGACCGCATGCTAGGGGCTAGCCATACTACCTACTACCGGTGACAGAGTTATTACTTGTTGGCTGGTGAGCATCCAGCTCCAGAATCTGCATATTTTAGAGTCTGGTTCCTAGGACACTTGTGGCACCAACGATCTTAGATTGGGTTCCCTGGAAACCCCAGGGAATGGGCATAACCTTGGGTGAGGCATTTCCCCAAATTAGACACATCTCTGAGCTGTTAGCCAACGAAATGGCCCGCGGCAGGACGCACAGGTCCTGGACAAGGGCCCTGGGTAGAGCACCACGGCATCCACTATGGACGGTTTAAAGTTTCCACCTGATCTCTGCTGTTTCCCAACCCCACCAACCCCATGTGATAGTAAGGGAGCCCAGTTCCAAGGCAGTATACCTCTCACTGAACTCAGCGTGGCTATATAGTACAGCCACTGCCAAGCTTATCAAGGATGTGAGTGCCTCCCTCACCAATGAATCTCTTATTGCTAAAATGAAGACAGTGTCAGTTAGGCTCTCTCAGGGAATGTAGTCAGGTGACCGGATGTGAATTTATACATCGTAAGTATATCTTAAAATTTGCACATCCTTGAGCCTTCTGACCCCTTCCTCTGTACCAAGGAACTTCTGCATCTCCACTTTGTTTCAGAAACCATTTTCAAATCCAGATGTTAAGGAATGATCCCAGCAAACTCTTAGACTAGCTTTACAAGTACTCGACATAGTATTAAATCCCAAGTCACAGGATAGAATACCCGTATCAATGAATTTAGTCTTCTATTACGCCCCCTCGTCTAAAACCCTCTAGATCTTTTCTACAAGTGTTCTCCCCTTTCCTGAGAGTACCTAAGAGCCAGATCTTACTATTCCTTTGCAGATCTTGTAGAAGCTGAGCTAATAGAAAATTTATCAAGCCAAGGAATCAGTCGTGGAAAACTGAGGCAAGAGCATGGTCACTGGAATTGGGAACAAAGTGGAGAGTTCGTGACAAGAGAAGGTAGAAGTGGGAACTGAAGTTAGCCAGATTTTACCATTCAGGGGAGGAAATATCTAAAATATGTCACCACCTTGAGATGACCTTCTTTCAGTGCTCGCAAAAGCTCACTTCAGTGAATGTTCTCATTAGCCTCGTCCACCGTCTCCCCCCCCATGTCTTCTCAGCTATATCACTGAGCAGAAGTCCATTTAGTGTAAATCAAATATGAGATTAGAGCTGGTATAGCAGCAAGAATGATTTCAGATGCTGGGCTAGAGTTCCTTCATCTCCCCCAACTCAGAAGTGAATTGGTTTCCAAGTCAACAAATGGACTGAACCTAGAGGTGGGTGGCTTAGGGACAGAGAGGCATTATATAGAATGCTTAAAGACCTGGCATGGGAAATAAGATAGAGCCTCCATTTACTTCTCAGCGACTCTACTTAGCACTTGGGTACTTTTGAAGTTATGGAGCTTGCTAAGTTTCAGTTACCCACTCATTTGTAAACTGGGGATGATAATAGCCATCTCAGTGTGTTTCAGTGAGGACTAAGTAAAATGTTACATGTGGAGTACTTAGAAGCATGCCCAATGCATAACCAGTACTCGATAAGTGGCAGCAGTGGTAGCTATTTTTCTTACTATTAGGGATGAAGACAAAGGAGTTGGGGAGCAGAGAACCAAGCTGTTAATTATAAATACTGCCAAGAAAATGGTAATCTCTGGTCAGTGCAACAGGGGAACCCACAGGCCAATGCCTGGGGAGGTTGGGGAGAGTTATAAATGCCCTGGGGACCTGGGCGACCTCAACAGTCCCCTAGCAGATGACAGAGCATGGCAGCAGAGCGGTGAGCACAACATAACCACAAAGCAGATGTCAGGAGTCCCAGAAAGAGCAACTTACATGCCATGAACACTGCTTTCTATAAATTTAAAAATATATGCAAAATTGGCAGGGAAGGGACAGGTGAGTTAGGTAGTTTCATACATGGTGGGATTGTAAATTGATATAATCCATTGGAAAGCAGTCGAGTAATCTATTAACAGTCATAAAATGCTCATGACCCAATAATCCACTTCTGAGAATGTAACCTAAGAAAATATTTCCAAATATGGAAAGATCTCTATATGTCAAAATTAATTGTGTCATATATCATATCGTTTATAGTAGCAAAACATCAGAAGAAAACTAAATGTTCAACATAAAGAAATAGTTATGTAAATATTCATACCAATTACATGAAATATTATGCATCCACTTAATATATGTATCAAGTATTTGTAATAACATTAAAATAAAATTTTCATGTTAAATAAAAAATAGAATATAAAATGGGTGTGTATATTATGAGGATGAGTATATAAAAAAGAAACAAAAGCTTTAGTAAGAAAAACTACTGAAAGGAAAGTCCACATGTCCTATGAACCTTCTCTCTAAGGCCGCTAGATACATGGCTAACAAAAGGATGCAGGTGAAGGACTTGATGTCCTAAAATTGGAATGGGAAACAGGTCTCTCCTTTTGCCCCAACACCAAAGGCAGGGTAGTGGCTGCATACAGAACTGTCTTAGAAAGGATTCTAAAGCCCTGGGTCTGGCTCAACTAGAAAGAGGATCAAGATTGATTGATAATGTCTGCCATGGGCAAATTTGAGGACAGTGGTAGAAATTGTTCAGAATATTTGACATCCTTGGGTATGATTCCTCTTTCAGATAATAACTACAGCATAAGAAATTTGGGTTACCAAGTGAGGTTGTTGCGGAGGAGATTCCTCCACTGAGAAGAAAGTAGAAGCATTACCATTCAGGAGAGAAGGCTCATTCCAACCCTGAGAATCATGAATTGAAATATTTTAGGCCCTCAATGGGGTTAGCGAGGGAGAAGTTTTGGTGGAACTCGGAGAATTAAGGAGGTTTCAGAGCCGCTCAAAAATCACAACAGCTTACGTGATAGACTTGGCCCACAGGCTATCCAAACGGAACACCATGATTCTGGATTCTTCACTTGGCCCATCATCCTAAAAAGTAGATAAAAGCAATTTCACATGACAGTTCTGAAGAAGCAATTTGCTTGTAAAGATCATGCCTGGAGTCTATCAAATTGCATGTGTATTTGTATATCAGGTTTCACTGCCTCCTGACCAGGCAGTAATCAGTCTGTACACTTGACCCAACCTGAGAGTCTCTGAATGTAAAATGGGGAGCCCTCCAGCATCCCTCAAATTACTCACGTCATTGATATTCTCACCACTCTAGTCAGTATCAAGTTACTCAATTGAGTATAAATTTTTCCCTCTAAGTTCAGTCAAAGGTTAACTTCTTCAAAGGAAACTGTCAAAGCCTGACATCATGTTTGGTTTGCACTAAACATACAAACGTGCTCCCCTCACTAAGTCTTCGGGTCGTGCTGGAAATCAACACACATTTGAGTTCTGAGCAAAAGCAGGCCTGTGGTAGCGTGCTTGGGAAGCGAGGCTCACCCCAGCAGGTAAAACACAACAAACAATGTGGCTTAAAATAATTAGTTCCCATGCTGAGCGATCCATACAGAGTTTTCCTACACCAGGTGCTTGAAGCTTTCTTTTAGATTTAAAAAAAAAAAAATGGACTGAAAGGCATTTAGTCTTGAGATACAGGTTGAAAGAGAAGGCTGGAGGGGCGCCTGGGTGGCTCAGTTGGTTAAGCGACTGCCTTTGGCTCAGGTCATGATCCTGGAGTCCCAGAATCGAGTCCTGCATCCGGCTCCCTGCTCGGCAGGGAGTCTGCTTCTCCCTCTGACCCTCCCCCCTCTCATGTGCTCTCTCTCTCATTCTCTCTCTGTCAAATAAATAAATAAAATCTTAAAAAAAAAAAAAAAGAAGGCTGGAATTTTCTGGCATATTATAAAGCCGAGCTGAGAAAAGCAAAAGCTGGCCTCTAGCTCTCAGACACACCAAAAGGCCGTAGGAAGCCAAAAATTTTCTGTGAATAATTAAGTTTCACTCCATCTGGGTGTCTTTTAGTGGTCTAACCATTTCAGCTGAAAATTCTCTTTTATTTCCCAGTGCTCTCCAGTTAAGAAAGCTTGTTGTGATCTTTGTTACTACAACCAGTGTTTGTTTTGGTACTAAGGACAAATAAAGTTTTGGCAAAAACTTCCCCAGGCCAGGAGCTCTTGGGGAATGTTAGCTTTTGCCCATTGAGCTTATTTGCCAGAAACATTTGGATGAACAGGACAGCCAAAGCAGCCAGCAGTATTTTTGCCTCATGACTGATTTTAACCAAAAGCTGTCAGGACCAAACACACTCAGAATTAGAACATGAAGTGCAAATACACCTGGAGAATTGTAACGACCGAAATATACCTCAGGTTTCTAGAAGATACTTATTGTCAGGGCAATGATGTAAGTTAAATTTCAGGTTCCCCGTGAAAACAAAGTCTCAAGGCCCTTTTTGCTTTTACTGTTTACAAAGTAGGCATCTCTGATGGCAAGGAGTGCTGTTCCTTGATGCGTCCCAACCTAGGTCTATTTTATGACTATGTTGAGAATTGCTAGCTTCCAAACATGCTTATTATCCAGAAAAAGAATTAAACTAGGTCATGCTTAATTTAATAGAGTTTAGGAGTCCTGATGCCCATTCAGTTAATTAATATTGGAAAAAGAGTCCAAATATCAGCCATTTCTAAAAGCTCTTCAGCATGATGAACAGAGAAAGATAAGCATTTCATTAGTCCAGTGACCACTTGCATCTAATTTTTTGACAGGTAAGCAATTCCAAATGCCATTACAAGGGCATTCTTGGAATATGGTTCCCAGCTGTCATAAATAGAAATGGCTCTCATGGCTTGTTTTTATTCTAATAACTTAATTCAAATAGATTCCTACTGAATTGACTGCATTTTCATATATGAAAATATTTAGCAACAATTATGCATCAGATAAATTTCTTGTACTGCCTTACTGCTCAGAGGTTAAAGTATTTAGAATTTCACGTACCAAAACTTGCTCTTGTGGAACTCCTTCTATGATAACAGAAAATCTCAACGAACTTGGAGTAATGGAGCACATTTAAGCTCATACTCCATTCTAATCCATCTGATGCTTGGTTCTAGTTGATTGCCTCCCACAACAAGAGTTTCTAGTTTTAGAATGCTTCCACTCTGAGCAGCATGATACGCCCTTCTAAAAATAACCTATTCCATGTTGGAGAGTTGTAGCTTTAAAAAAATTTTTTTATGTACATTGAGAGTGCCTGGGTGGCTCAGTTGGTTAAGTGTCTGCCTTTGGCCCAGGTCATGATCCCAGGGTCCTGGGATCGAGTCCAACATCAGGCTCCCTGCTCAGCGGGGATCCATGCTTCTCCCTCTCCCTCTGCCCCTCCGTCATGGTCTCTCTCTCTCTCATGCTCTCTCTCTCCAATAAATAAGTCAAATCTTTAAAATTTTTTCTTTTACAGACATTAAATCCAAACCTTCTTCCTTATAATTTCCATCAATTCCTCTATGCACTGTCTTCTGGAATCACACTGAAATTCCCCTTTCCCAGGATGATCATCCACAGTATCTTTCCTCATAGTTTCTCTTTTCAAGACCCCCTACTCCCATACCTCTCTTTCGGTTCAAACCCCAGCTTCCCTACCCCCTTAGCTGGCTGACCTTGGTAGGAGAGCTGGTGTCATTTTAAGTAACAGATTGCTTATCAATTTTTTCAAGTGGGAACCGTAATACCAACAACTTGCAGGATAGTCATTAAGGACTAAATAAAGTATCAAATGCAGTATATGCCCAATAAATGTTGATTTTCCCTTCCCATCTTCAAGTGAGTCGCCCATAACCAAATGAGATGAGATACAGTGTTTGGGGTGCTGTCTTTCTATTCCCGTCACAGATTGATGCCTTCACTGAGGGCTGGTGTTTTCTGAGCTGTGTCACGCTGATGACAATGTTGTGTGTTAGGGACCGACTGGTGTCCCTCCAAAGTTCATGTTAAAGTCCTCACCCCTAGTGTGACTATGTTTGTAGAGGTCACTAAGGATAAATGAGGTCATGGGGGCCCTGATGGGATAGGATTGGTATCTTTATGAGGAGAGGAAAAGAGACTAGCTCTTTCTCTCTGTGCCTCAGAGAAAAGTGATGTGAGGCTGCAGCGGAAAGGTGGACATCTGCGAGCCGCCAAGAGAAGCCCCACCGGCAACTGAGTTGGCTGTTATCTTGATGGTGGACTTCTAGCCTCGAAAGCTGTGAGAAAAATAAATGTCTGTCATTGAAGCCCCACACTCTGAGGTGTTTTGTGATGCAGCCTCAGCAGACTAATAGAGGTCATCTGTGGTCAGTCCAAATGTCTACATTGTCCCCCTTCGTATGAGGCTGTGAAGCCATGTCTACTTAACAAACCCGAAGCATCATGAGAGACAGAGAGATGGAGAGACTTGCTCTTTTTTTTTTTTTTAAAGATTTTATTTATTTATTTGAGACAGAGAGAATGAGAGACAGAGAGCATGAGAGGGAGGAGGGTCAGAGGGAGAAGCAGACTCCCCGCCGAGCAGGGAGCCCGATGCGGGACTCGATCCCGGGACTCCAGGATCATGACCTGAGCCGAAGGCAGTCGCCCAACCAACTGAGCCACCCAGGCGCCCCGAGACTTGCTCTTTGAGAAGGCAAGTGCTCAACACCACCTTTTAAAGCTTCATGAATAACTCTTTCAGTCAATGTAACAGAATCTTACCCAGTGTCTGTGTCAGCTTATCTGGTTATAGTTGGCAGAATGACACGATTATGAAAATTTGGAATCGTATTGGCTCATCTCTAGGCTTCTGAAACCTCTTTAACGCTTCCTCTTTTTTTGTTTCTCTCAAGAATAATAATAATAGCAACCACGGCTAAGCATCATGTTAAGTGTTTTGGGTGGATTAACTGACTTAATCTTTTTGTGCCTCAGTTTTCTCACCTATAAAATGTGGATGATAATAATAATCCCTGTCTTATAAGGTTGCTATACAGATTAAGTCACTTAGCCAAAGTCACATAACTAATAAGTGGGAGAGGCCAGATGCCAGCTCGTTAGAGGACCTTGAGCAAGTTACTTGACCTCTTTGTGCCTCAGTCTCCTTATCTATAAAATGAGGACAACAACAGTACCTACCACATAGGGCAAGTACGAGGATTAAATTACTTAATACGTGTGAAGTGCTTAGAGTGTGCACTCTGACCTATAAATTGCCAAATTCGGGCCTGGCTCAAGGCCTAGGCTAGAACCATCAGCTACCTGAGGGCAGGGAACTTTTTGTCTTATTCACTGCTCTTTTCCCTGCTCCCGGTGTCTTACCTGACACGCAACAGTCATTCCCTGGATGTTTGTTCAGTCAGTCAAAGGCAGGTACCAAGTAGTTAAAAGCTGTAGAAGAAAGGTTACAAATAGGAAAACAGAAACTGAGAAGGGGCTTGACATTCCTTTTATCTCCACCTAATATGCCTCCAGATTTCTCATTTCTTATGTTCTCTCTGTGGGCCGAAGGGTGTTTCTGAGAAATCCCTCCCTCGCTGGAGAAGGACAGTAAGTGGCCCAGCCGTGTACTCCATGCCTTCCCCAAAACTCCTTTCAATGTGCAACCACACTGCAGTCTTCCCTGTTGAGCTGCAAGTGCTGTGAGGACTGGGGTCTTACTCATTCTGCTTACCCATGGGTCTCCAGGACTCTGCCCATAGAAGTTGCTCAATAAATAGTTGTGAAAGAAATGAGAGAAGGTGGGAGAGGCCAGGATGAGGAAGGAACCTAGAGAGAGAAGGGAAGGAGGGAAATAATACAGGGTCTCTGGGAAGTTCTGTCCAGGAGGAAGTATGCTCTGGTGGGAAAAACAAGGCAAGGAATGATGTAAGAACAGAACAGTTGGTATGTAATTCATCTAGGCTGAGAGACTTGAATTATTGTAAACAGCTACCTGTTCTTTGATATTCACCTCAGTATCATGGGTTTAAGCTCATCATTGCCAATGTTTGATCTCCTTTTCAACCTGACAATGATCGTGTTCCCTGATTCTAGAGAGAGCCAAAAATGCACATGTAGCCTGAAGACTAATGATGCAACACGGTGTAAACTCTGCTCTCCAAGAGGAAAGCCCTAGAGGAGTGCAGAGGTGGAGAGGATGGTTATACACTCAGGAAGTCAAGAGAGTCTCCATGTAGGAGGATGGAAAAGACAGCCCGAGGATTGGCAATGACGGAGAGTGAACAAAGATGAGGACACAGGGACCTCAATGGTCAGCCTCCCAGAGGATAACACCCAAGGACAGCTTGATGATTATGAAAATGAGATAAGGACGTTAAGCATGGCTAACACTGGGCATTACTTTGAGCCAGAAATTGTGCTCAGTGCTTAATGATATATTAACTTCTATTGATATATACTATAACTATATGCAGGTATGTATGTGTATATGTACCATTTACAAGAGGAGCTGTGTCATGGAGGGTGAGCTAATTTGCCTACGATCACTCAGTGTACATGTGGCAGAACCAGGGTATGAGGATATGAGGATATGGACCAGGACCCAGTCTGGCAGACAAAGGAGTACAAATATTGTCCCAGAAGAGTGCAGACCCTGAAGCCAGTTATGTTACAGAATATAAAACTAGAAACTTTAAGGTCTCAGAGATTATACTGGGAAGGTGGGAGGACCAGGAAGAGTTGCTTCCAGAAAATAAGGATGAAGGAATGGATGAAAGGGATGAACGATTCTTGAGTGTCCGTCCATCTGACTTCTCACCCCATGTTCCTTCCACTAAATTCTGACACGGAGACAGAACTACTTGCTAGAAGCCCCCTCCTTCTTTCTAGGTTGGAGGAATTACTCAATTGTATACCCATTTGTCTAGAGAAAGAAAGTAACACAAAGAAAGTAGTGTACAGTTGAGGAGCCACCCAGAGGTGCTATCCTATCACCTTGCTCAGCAGTGACACGCTGCCTCGAATGTGTGTCATGAGAAGTTGTTGGTTCTAGAGCACTCCTAATGAACATCCCAATGTTAGTCTCCATTTCAGCTTCAGCTTCCTGGGGAACCCCACCTTTGTTGCAGGATCTGATCAGATCATCTTTAGAGAAGAGATGATCCAGTGGCTCCTCCACCCATCCACCCCCATTAAAAAGTAGTGCATTTCTAAAGCATGTTCCAGAAGAAATATTTGAGAGCTGGGGGGAAACCTAATCGTTAGCTTATCTCAGAAATATATCTCGCTTCCCTTTATTTCCATATCTCTGGTTCTCACACCTTTTCATCCTATTGCACTTTGAGTTGCTCAAGGGTAGGGCCATCTCTCATACATCTTGTACCAACAGTGTCCTGGAGAGATCATACGTGCTCAATACCAGACTTAATACCTGTCTCTTCTTTTCACTGCCATGAATTCCAAATGCGTTCATGTCTTATTCCTGCCACTGCCAAAAGTGTCTTGTAAATTACATGCTAAAGTGGTTTGGGGAGGAATTGTATGATAATCATTTATGTAAACCTTTAATCACTAGACCCAGACTTTCTATACCACTGGCTTAGAGATCTTGGGATAGCGATTAGGTGTAGTGGTGAATAGTGGCCCTAAACAGATAGGCCATCGTTAAAATTCCCAGAACCTGTGATTGTTACCTTATTTGGAAAAAGGATCTTTGCAGATAATAATAAAGTTAAGTGTCTTGAGATGAGACCATCCTGGATTACCAGGGTGAGCCCTAAATCCAATGACAAGTGTCCTCATAAGAGACAAAAGGGAAGATATAGAGAGACAGAAGAGAAGGAGGTGATGTGATCATGGGAGCAGAGATTGGAGTGATTCAGCTATAAGCCAAGGAATGCCTGGAGCCACACAAAGCTGGAAAAGGCAAGAGATGCAATCTCCTCATAATGTTTCAAGGAAGTGCTGCTCTTGATTTCAGACTCCTGGCTTCTGGAACTATGAGAGAATCAATTTCTGTTGCTGTATGCAACCAAGCTTTGTGGTAATTGGTTACAGCAGCCTAGAAAACTAATACATTGGGTCTGAAAAATGCCACAGGGTGTTGGGACTTGGAATCCTACTCTGGCAACGACCAGCCACCACTTCGCGTCTCCCCCTTTGCAGATGATGGCAGCCGCATGTTCCTAGGTCACTGAGAACACGCACTAAATCTGCCTCAGTGGCTGTAGGGCCCGTGGGCCAGCATTGGCCAACCCAGGGCCTGAAGACAGGCTGGAGCCCCCACACACTCCAGAAGAGGGAAAGAAAGCCTCATTTGGGTGACTTTCCTAACATTTGGAATTGATCATTCAACTGCTCAAAAAAACCCCCAAACCCAAACAAAAAAACTTCAAGAAAAGGCAGGACTATTTGGATAGTGGGTCATAAGCCTTGTTGGAACAGAAAGGAATTTTTTAGCAATCACAGACCAACCTTTATTTTAGAGGAGAGAAGCGAGGCGGCCATGTCTTGGTGGCCATGGCCACGTATGGAGTCCGCAGCGTGACGTGGAGTTCAGGCGCCGGAAGTCTAGCCCGGCATTCTTCCACCGCATGGTACTCATGCAGGCACTTGCAACAGCTCTCTGTTTGGTTGTCTTAACATTTCTAAATTACCGAACAGGATTGCTTATCCGTGTATTTCAAGTGATCTATGCAAAGGTAAAATATCCATCTTAATTTCGGAACGAGCTGTGTTTGGGACAGATATTTAGAATTCCAAACCAGGTTGCATCCTGGCGACATTCAGCTAGATGGAAACAGAAGCAAACAAACAAAAGAAAGGCTTTGGAACTGACCTCCGAGCTGCAGGGGGGAAAATGTCTTTGAGGCAGTTAGCCCCAGCAAGGAAGGGCCGTGGTGAAGCCGCGTGTCTACACCCTACACATACATATTCAGACTCTTTGTCAAAAAAGCTCAGTGCTGGAGCATTTCAATTAACAAAGTGGGATGGTTTACCTGATAAAATGCTCCCTGTGTGAGTGTAATTACATATTTATACCCCACAGAGATTTTTTAATTTCTGTTTGGTTTGTTTGCCTTGAAAGTGTTTGTCACTGGAAGTGTTCTTGATGTGCAATTTTAAAGCACTATTGACCAACTGTGTGGCTTGTTTTCATTTTAGATTCATTACAATTTGAAGATGATGATTTTCCCCCTGTCTACACACAATATTGATACTTGCACAAGAAGACAATGCATCAAGGAACAGGAAAAGCATTAAAGGAATACTGTCAAGTACCTGTCTTCTTGTTCTCCCCTAGTAATTCTCTCTTTTTAACCCATCCGAGGCTACTAATTGTATCTAGATGCTTGACAATATGTTTCTTTCTTTGCAAGTTTCCTTGTTTCTGTCTTCTGTTCATAAAGTTTTTCCTTCATCCCTCTCCACCATCCCCATCCATAGAGCAAATAAAGCTGAAAGAATGGAGTTCCTTTCTGTGGTTCTCTGCCCCTCCCTTTCCTTATGAATACACAGACACGTAGATATGGATTGCCAATTAACTGGGGTTGCTTTCATTCCATCACTAATCAGCAGAGCCCCTGCTATGTCCTGGGTACCCCTGATAGGCTTTGGGTATACAAAGATAAGTCTTAGTCCCAGATCTCATGGATCTATGTGCTCACAGAGAAGCCAGGTGTGGAAAGAAGCAATTACAGCCTCGTATAGCAAGTGCTGTAACCAAGGTATGCACGAAATACAGTGGTGGCTTCGTGGACCTAGAAATTAATTCTGCCCAAGGCAGGCTTCATGGAGGAGGAGGTGGCTCTTAAGAGATCACCCCACAGACATGAGAGCTTACCAATTGCTCAGACCAGTGATAAAGCCCTGAAGAAGACCAACATAGTCCTTGAATTCATTCTCCTGGGAGGGAGCAGACATTAAGGAAGAGAACAAACAAAGAAGATAATTGCAGATTGTGATAAGTGCTGTGTAGGGAATAATGATGGAGACATAGGGAAGGAAGCTCCTTTACATGGGCTGGTAAGGGAAGGCCTCTTTGAGGCAGTGTTTGAATTAAGACCTGAAGGAGGAAGGATGGCAAGGAGCTATTCACATGCAAAGCCAAGGGAAGAGCAAGTACCAGGCCCAGGAAGAGGCTGGAACAAGCAAGAAGCATTGAGGAGGTAGGTCTTGTGGGTACAGCAAGGTGGACAAATTGAGGGGCTTAGTTGGAACCAGGTCCCAGAGGGCCATCAAGCCCATGGTAAATGTTAGGATTTTATTCCCAGAAATAGAGATCAAAACCATGATGAGATATCACCTCACACTTATGGAATGGCTATCACCAAAAAGACAAGGGTAACAAGTGTTGGCGAGGATGTGGAGGAAAGGGAACCCTTGTGCGGGGTCGGTGGGAATGCAAATTGGTGCAGCCACTGTGGAAAAGATAGTACTTGGTACCACTGAATGCCCAGCACTGAAGCAGTATGGACCACTGAGTCCAAGACGCATGCCCCCAGTAGCTTTACTGCTTGTCAGCTGAACCTGGCATCCAACCCCAACCCCGAGCTGCAGGATTTTATTCCAGACATGTTCTGAGCGGCTGCTGGAACTCCCACGTTGGTCTGCTCGGTAGTTTCTTTCAGCTGCCTCCTTCCTATTTTCTTTGCCCTTTGTTTATTTCGAATGATTTTTATAATGATTCATAGCACTTCACTTGCCCTTTGGCTGCGATGCTGAACATGTGACTCAGATATTATGGCCAATTACACTATCTTTTGGACCTGACCATACTGACCGTATGTGACACAAAGCAGCACCAACTGGAATCTTTTTTTTTTTTTTTTTTTTAAGATTTATTTATTTGAGAGAGAGAAAGAGAGCGAGTGGGGAGAGGGGCAGAGGGAGAGGGAAAGAGAGGATCTCTAGTGACTCCCTGCTGAGTGTGGAGCTCAACTCAGGATACGATCCCCATGATCCTGAGATCATGACCCAAACTGAAATTAAAAGTTAGACGCCCAACCGACTGAGCCACCCAGGCACCCCAGGACCAACTGGAAGCTTGCCTTAGGAACTGATGGGTGAGCCCTGAAAGAAATAAAGGCTCTCTTCCTTGTAGATCATGAAATGCAAAACTATGGAATTAAGGTTGCTAGTAGACTTCTTTTCCTCCACATGGTCAGAATTTCTGGGCAGCAGGAAAGAATGAGACCAAAAAACAAAAAGAAGAAGAAACGCACAAGTTAAGAGACAAGAGAGACCAGAACAGGACTCATCGTTGAGGTCCTAGATCCAGCAATGCCTACCTTCCAGGTAATATGAGCAGATTTTTTTTGTGTAATCTAATAGAAGTTGGAATTATTTTTATTGCTACCAAAGAGTTGTTAATCAGCTGCTCTCCCTGGCTTCATCCTGCTCTGAGAATCTAGAACAGAAGCAGTTTGCTCATAGGCAGAGAGCATCAGTGGGAAATTTGGAGGTCAGGTTTCAACTGTAGCTGAGAGCCAGGGAGACAAACTCCACACAAAATTATGTCAATTCAGTTTTTGTATTAGGTCTCTGAATTTCTGGCATTCTATATTCACAGGATAACCTCTTTCATCACATCCAGGAGAGCCACATGCAACAGTGCATCCAGGAGACTCCATTTGCTGGCTACTCAGAATATTTGGGCTCTGAGTCACTTCTTAGGATGTCACCATTAAATGCAAGAGTATCAACTGTTTTGAAATAGTTGTGCCAGCTCATAGTAGAGGCTCACTCTCTGGGAGCCACTATATTGAGATTCTGCCACTGACTCTCATTGCGATCTTGAATAAATTACCCTCCGCTGTATGCCCCTTATTCCCATAATTTTCCTAAACTGTTTTTTTTTTTTAACTTTTAATTTCCCTTCAAATACAGTGAACATGCCATCTGATGTTCCAATAAGCTCACACTGGATACTATGGAGTCAAGTTGAAGATTTCCTCACTATTCATTGTTTACAGACATAAAAATAATCAACAGAATAAAAACATATGCCAAAGAGGGGCGCCTGGGTGGCTCAGTTGGTTAAGCGACTGCCTTCGGCTCAGGTCATGGTCCTGGAGTCCCCGGATCGAGTCCCACATCGGGCTCCCTGCTCGGCAGGGAGTCTGCTTCTCCCTCTGACCCTCCCCACTCTCATGCTCTCTCTCTCTCATTCTCTCTCTCTCAAATAAATAAATAAAATCTTAAAAAAAAAAAATATGCCGAAGAGGAGAGAACTTTGCTTTGGGGTGTATTGTGAACCAGACAAGGGGTTCCTTTCATCACATCTTTATACAATGGCCTCAAGATTTAGTTTGAATTTAGATGCTGAGGACTCCTATAGGGCAAGGCCCACTCATATATGAACACTGAAACACAATCTGCTATTTTCCTATTGGTATGCAGGCGATGATGTCATTTTAAATAGGGGCGTGTGAAGTTCAAATGCTTGAGATGTTTGCTGTATAAATCAATAATAATAATAATTGCATATTTATCCACCAGGCTACCTGGAATATAGTCGTGTTATTTTACTCAGCATTCAAGGAAATGCAGGGTTTTCATTTTCTCTCTCTTTTTGGAAGGAAGCATACTGCTGAGACTATTAAGGAAAATGCAAATCTCCTGGCTGTTTGGGAAGGCTCCAAAAGAGCGACAGTGAGCAGTTGTTACCAGCAGTGTTTGGGTGAAAATGTAAAATCTTTGTCTTTAAAAATGTTTGTTTAACTGAGGAGAGTTTACACAGCTTGTAGAGAATTATAGTGGAAGAAATTACATTTCGCTTCCGCCATCATCAGTTTTCTCCACCTGCCAATTGTCCCCCATTGTAGTCTGCTCGGGCATTAGTGATGCTTAAAATGATCAAAGAAATGATCAGAGAGAAATAAAAATACACACAGAACAGTTCTTAGTAAGGTGGGAAAGAATGGATTTAGTTCAAAGTGGGAATTTGCATCCCTCCACACACATTCAGATTAATTTCTTCTAAAATGAATTTGTCGATCAGATGTATATTCTGCTTTCTCCCTGCCCATGGCTAATGAACAAGGCAGAGAACATTTAGAAAGTTCCTAAAACCACTGGCCCTTTGGCAAGTACAGAACTCTGGACCCTGTAAATGCTCAGTAAATATTTGTTCACTAAATTTTTAAAAGGGAATACTTAACCTAAATTAGTGATCAATTAGTGATTAATAATCAATTAATGGATTTATTTAAGTTCTTTTTGGAAAAAAACTCTACTTGAAGCAGAGGTAAGGTTATGAATGTCTAGGTTTTTTTGTAACATTTTCCCCCCAGACTTTCAGCCAACCCTAGATAGGGACACCACAAGTAGATGCCAATTAATAATGGGTGAGCCAGAATGTAACAGAATGGCCCCTCTGTTCCGAGTTCCTAGAGTCTAGTCATGATACTCTCATTAACACTCTCTTCCTCTCATATTAATATAGAAGCCATAAATCCCAGGAAAGTGTATCTACTCCTTATCGTACTGAGATGATAATATGTCCAAAGGAAAGATACAAAAATACCATAGCGGTCTGTCAAATTACAGTTTATAAGGCCTCTGTTGGTTCCTAAACCGGACCATGGGATTCATGTGGGGAAGTATTTTTAAAAAGCTCATGATTCATGTCTTCTGCCCATTTCTTGATTGGATTATTTGTTCTTTGGGTGTTGAGTATGATAAGTTCTTTATAGATTTTGGATACTAGCCCTTTATCTGATATGTCATTTGCAAATATCTTCTCCCATTCTGTTGGTTGTCTTTTGGTTTTGTTGACTGTTTCTTTTGCTGTGCACAAGCTTTTTATCTTGATGAAATCCCAATAGTTCATTTTTGCCCTTGCTTCCCTTGCCTTTGGCGATGTTTCTAGGAAGAAGTTGCTGCAGCTGAGGTCGAAGAGGTTGCTGCCTGTGTTCTCCTTTAGGATTTTGATGGATTCCTGTCTCACATTTAGGTCTTTCAACCATTTGGAGTCTATGCACTACTGTGTATTTACTCCAAAGATACAAATGTAGGGATCCAAAGGGGTACGTGCACCCCGATGTTTATAGCAGCAATGTCCACAATAGCCAAACTGTGGAAAGAGCCAAGACGTCCATCGACAGATGAATGGATAAAGAAGATGTGGTATATATAATGGAATATTATGCAGCCATCAAAAGGAATGAGATCTTGCCATTTGCAACGATGTGAATGGAACTGGAGGGTGTTATGCTGAGCGAAATAAGTCAGTCAGAGAAAGACATGTATCATATGACCTCACTGATATGAGGAATTTTTAATCTCAGGAAACAAACTGAGGGTTGCTGGAGTGGGGGTGGGTGGGAGGGATGGGGTGGCTGGATGATAGACACTGGGGAGGATATGTGCTATGGTGAGCGGTGTGAATTGTGCAAGACTGTTGAATCTCAGATCTGTACCTCTGAAACAAATAATGCAATATATGTTAAGAAAAAAAAAAGAAGAAGATAGCAGGAGGGAAAGAATGAAGGGGGGCAAATCGGAGGGGGAGACAAACCAGGAGAGATGATGGACTGTGAAAAACAATCTGAGGGTTCTAGAGGGGAGGGGGTGGAAGGATGGGTTAGCCTGGTGATGGGTATTAAAGAGGGCACGTTCTGCATGGAGCACTGGGTGTTATGCACAAACAATGCATTATGGAACACTACATCAAAAACTAATGATGTAATGTATGGTGATTAACATAACAATAAAAATTTTTTTTAAAAAAACCTCATGATTCTTGGGCCAACCCTAAAAAAAAAAAAAATCTGAGTATGGGTGACAGCTGGGGATCTAATTTTTTTTAAAACTTCTTTTCTTGAGATCGGCCACATCTGGGATCTATTTCTTCACATTTCGACAGTGGGGTCCCTAAGAAGCATCCCAGCACAGGCAACATTTAGATGGGAGATACGGGTGTCTTTGAAGTATACATTTGGTTTCCTGTAAAGTAGATGCTTAGCCGACTGAGAACCTGATGACAAGATTCTAGATTTCTTTCACTTGACGTTGATGGCTCTGCAATGGCCGGGAAAACAACTGAGTTGTTTTGAAATAAGCACCTTTCTACTCTATCAAGGTCAAACCTTTTACTTGATGTACTTAACTAACCATGTAAAATATTACATCAGCAAGCCTAGGAGGCACTTAGAGATATATTCACATTTGCATAATGTCCTCTGTAAGTTAGTCTTTGGTCCTTAAGGGTGTTTAGAATAACTGCATGCAAGAATATACTTAATCCAATCTCATTTTAGCTTTTGCTCTTTTAAGATTTCAAAATTAATAAATCCTCCTGATACTCCAAATTACCATGAGCTTTTATAAGCATAACTTTGTAACTTTAACCCATTTATGAACATACCCCACAGGCAAATGTACTAATGAATAAGAAATAACATTAGAAGTTTAAAAGATGGTCTCTTTATGAAGTAATGTAAGAAAATCCTGTTAGCTGGATCAAGTACAAAAGTGCGATTTCTTAAAAAATAGAAAATCCGTCACAAAATTACATGTAATTACAATAACCAAAGGATAGAAAGTAAGGATAGTTGAAGTACCATGCATTATTTAACTTAGTACATGTTATCGCTTGCTTGCATATGGATGAAAGCAGGAAGAAAGGAACTGACACACTCTCCGCCTGTGGCTACAGAAATCGTGGTATTTGCACCTGACTTCCCAGAATGTGAATTCTTGACCAAAGGTATCAACACACCTGACAGGTAGGCTGTGCTTCCAGCTTCTTCCGTCATTACTTGCCAGCCCCTCTCTGCCTTTATGCCCTTCTCGCTGCCTGCCTCCTTGTAAGGTTACACTACAGAGTAAAGGCCGGCCCAGGTGTCTCCTTCAGAACCAAAAGAAATGCAAAAATCAGCTTGATCAACAAAGGAGACTTCTCCATTGGCAGGGCAACAAAATTAGGAGCCACACATAGTCATGATAGGCTTGCTTACAAGTGAACCGTCAGCTTTCAAACCATCTTGTAGTGATTTTGTTCACTACAAAAATACCATAACTATCATATTGCCGAAAGGCCTATGACACATACCTCTAGTTTACTGATGAGGACATCCAGACACAGAGGGGACAAATCACTTCCCGATGTCACACAGTCAGTCCCTGCCCAAGATTTGAACTTAGATTTGCCGAGATTCCAGTCTCCTATGGTTTACTGCAATGACATCCAAAAAGAGGATGAAGTATTACCATAAAGAATTCGAAAGGAATATTGTGAAGAGCAAGAAATGATATTATTAGATATGCTAATGACAGAGCGGATATCCAGCCTGTGGACTGTCAAGGGTCTTGTGACCAAAAAAAAAAAAAAAAAAAAAAGTCTTGTGACAGAATAGAATATCTAGAGTATTATCTGTGGCTGAGATCGCCAGGAGCAGTCCAGCACCAGGGAAGATGGAGAAAGAGGGATCCAGGGGATGGGTCCAAACTGGAAAAGTGGAGGCTGACTTTTGCAGGCCATTCCTGGAACACTCTCTAACGTTGCTGACAACCTTCCTGGAAAGCACTTTGGCAATCAAAAGGTTGTATCCTTTATGTTTAAGTAAAACTGAAACATGGATAAAAATGTATGTTGAAAAGTTAACTGCAGACTTGTTTATATGGTGAAAAATTAGGAATAGCTTAAATATCCAGCAACTGGAAAGTAGTTAAGTAAATGATGGTAATTTCATGGGATAAAACATTTAATGTCATGGGCAGATGCTTTCTCTATAAAATTGAGTAGAAAAAAAACTGATTCAATAAGATGATCTCCAATGAACTACATTAAAATGTTAATAGTGATTTTATCTCTGAATGGTAGGGTTATGATGGGGTTTAGTTTCTTGCCATTTTTGGTAATTTCCAAATTCTCTAGAATAAGCATGTCTTACTTTTATAATCAGAAACACAATGAACTTTTAAAAATTGACACACTGCGTTCTTTTACTCTGTTGATGGAAAGATAGATTAGCATGATTTAGAGTGCAGGAGCATTTGTAAGGATGTTCACTGTAGCATTATTTGTAAAAGTGAAAATTTAAGAAAACATAAATGTCTCCCAGGAGGAAATGGGCAAATAAATTAAGAATAATAATTATTATTATAATCTCTGTTTTTATTGGTAGGTACAATTTACTGGTTCTTACCATGCAGTTCTAAGCACTTGAAGTGTTGTTGTTTTTTTTTTTTAGATTTTATTTATTTATTTGAGAGAGAGACAGAGAGAGTATGAGCGTGGGGAGGGGCTAAGGGAGAGGGACAAGTAGACTCCCCGTTGAGCGCAGAGTCCAAGGTGGGGCTCCGTCCTAGGACCCCAAGATCACAACCTGAGCCAAAGTCAGATGCTTAACTGACTGAGCCACCCAGGTGCCCCCTTAGCCTTTGTAATCCCCAGCATAACTCTCTGAAATACATACTCTCATTCTACCTGTTTACAGTTGGGATATCACATTCATGTAATATTCATCATATCCAGCTTTGAAGTAATAATGCAGTCTGATGTGCTGACATGGAAAGATGTCCATGATTATTGTTATGCAAGTAAAGAAAATCAAATATTTAGGATGATTAGCTCTCTGTTTTTAAAAAAAGTGTACACAGGCGGTGCCTGGCTGGCTCAGTCAGAGGAGCCTGTGACTCTTGATCTCAGGGTTGTGAGTTTGAGCCCTACATTGGGTGTAGAGATTACTTAAATAAATTTTTAAAAACTTTAAAAAAAATTAAAAAGTGTACACAAAAATGTTTGTAGGCATTTGTACATAGAAAAAGATCTGAAACTGCAAACTAAATTATTGATAGGACTTTCTCCCGGGGAATGAGATTTGAAAGAGATGAAGAGAGATAGTTTCACATTGTACTTCATATACTTCTAAATTTTTATTCTAAAAATAAACATTTACGGGGCGCCTGGGTGGCTCAGTTGGTTGAGCGACTGCCTTCGGCTCAGGTCATGATCCTGGAGTCCCGGGATCGAGTCTCACATCGGGCTCCCTACTCAGCAGGGAGTCTGCTTCTCCCTCTCCCGCTCCCTCCTCTTGTGCTCTCTCTCTCAAAATAAAAATAAATAAAATCTTAAAAATAAATAAATAAACATTTACTCTTATAAATAAAATATGATTACAGTTTTAAAAGAACTAAGAAGAATAAAATAACCCTACTTTTACTAATATTTAGGAAAACATAATAAAAGCCAGCTGGAAAAAAAATCCACAAACCACCCAACAGAAGTTGACATGGATAAGCCAAAAGATGCTTGGTGTTGTCTTAGCCAAGATGACATGGATAAAAAAGTGGGATGCTTGTAAGCAAAGTTACTCAGAGAAGAACGATAACTACAAGTTTGGAAGGTACAAAGAGAACAGCTTGGTTAAACAAAGGGTATTTATTAGTAAACAAAGAAAATTAATTTGATGTCGTGAGATAGTCTGTTAACACTTGGGACTTGATCCAGTAAGCAATAGGTAACTACTGTAAGTTCTAAGGCAAAGAAATGACATGGTAGGTCCCAGAATATTAGGGAAATTCATCTTATAGATGAGTCAGACGGCTTGGAAGGAGAAGAGCCCCATAAGTGGTTGGAACTTTTCAAATATCAAGGCATTAGATAATTAGAACCGGGCTAAAAAATGGAGAGGATCTTCAATTTGAAGATCTATATATAACATGTATGTTATAAGGACTGTTCACTATTACTAATAATTTCATTTTGACAAGAACAGTTACCTCCTTCTGCCCATGGGTCTTGTCCCTGTGCTTTAGTCAAATCACCTTTTTTGCACCAAAAAAAAAAAGAACAGTTAATAAAACTAAATTCATTTTAAAAATTAAATATGAAGTTTAGCTTTATCTAAAAACTTTTGCTTTAAAGCACTGAAATTCACTATTTGTATTTTGCCTTTAACTTTAAAAATAAATTTAAATATTTTAGAAGAAAATAACTCTTGAAAACATATTGAGAAGTAATTTTAATTTTTCAAATTAATTTTAATTTTTCAATGTTTACTTCTGTTTTAATTCATATTTTTGCTAAAAATATACTCAAATTTCATACACGTAAATACAATTACATTTTATTTTCTAACTCTTTAGGTCACCCCTGTTAGTAGAATACAAATTGAATGAAAATCTTGATTACAGCAACATATTTGGTGATTTTGCTAAAATGAAGTAAAGAAAATAAATTTTACTAAATATGTACAAAACAACTTATGAAATATGTATATTTTTAATTTGTCACTCATCTAAACATTGCCAGCCCATTAACAATACACCCAGCCATATGCAATTATAATTAAATTCAGTTGTCTTTGACATTTTGCCAACTCTCAGTCACATATACACCAAAGCTTTATTCATATTATTGTGTCATTATGAAGATATTATTTGTCCAGACAAAAGGGATCATATCTTATTCAATAATTTGTAGGCTCAAATTTTCATAACTTCTAAGTGTTTTAGACAGAGGGTATGTGGACCACTATTATTTTACTCTTGCCCTGGGTCCCTCAAATGACAGGAGCAATCTTGGATTCCAGACACATTAAAAAGGAAGATCTAAAATCAGATAAGGGGAACAAAGGAAATGGAGAAGTTAAGGATAACAAAGATTGTGAATCTGGTGGTCACATCAATGAAAAGAGGGAAGTTGGAGAGGGTAACTTGAATCCACCTGTCCTGTGAAAAAGCATGGTGAGCATGAGTAGTTGCAATCAGTCATAAACCTAAAGTCATAAACCGAGTAACTACAAATTCAGAATCAGTACTATCAGTCAGGAATAATGGGAGGATGACCTTGGCATCATCTCTGGGAGGACATGACTTGTATAGCAGTCTCTGATGGGCCATGATGCCATGACTGGAGTGAACAGACGCTCTGTTGAGTGGAATCAGATTCAGGTATGTCTACTATGGACAATTCCAGAGTGGTTCTCTAACTGAGATTTCAGCAACATTGGCACGGTTCCGAATTCCTGAATCACACCAGGGGTTTGCTTAGGAGCAAGTTTTATTAAACAAAATCTCTAGATCTTTTCTGTTAGTGTTCTCTGAAAATCACTTCCTTTGCTTTTACGCAGCCTATACATCTGGGGATTGTCTTACATTATGTGGACTCAGTTGACCTCATCTTCATGTTCCTTACATTTTGTATGAAGGCTACATTTTTCTCTGAGGCTGCCTGACACTTTAGAAAAAGAGAAGTAACTGCTGTCTACCTGGCCTCAGGTCTATGACTTGACAGGTCACTTTTTCTTTCTCATCACATTCCCCACCCAGGTGGTCACAGCCAATGCCAGTAGGGGCTGCACGCTGACTGTTTGCACTGCCTCAGTCCTGCTGGTCTGACTGACCTCAGTCTCCTCTGGCTTTGTCCTACATGAGGCAGGTTTTGACCATATCCATATGGTCCTTGCAGATTTGAGTGGAGAAAGAAGAGAATCTCAGCGAAAAACCAGGAGGAAGACAACCGTCACCCAAAGAGATAACTTAGCTTTGTTCCTTCCTTTCAGACCCTTCTCTCCCCATCTTACCCTCAACCACCACCACACAAATCTTTAGAAATCTCCCAGGGACAAAGTAATGCTTTCTGCTACTCTGACTCACACAGGGCAGTCTTCCAATATTTTTTAACATTTTAATAGACTGTCCTTTTTATTATATGAGGTTAAGATATAATATGCCCAGCCTTAATTCACACTCAATTTATGTTGTTTTGAAAATCCAGTTCAAGTCACTGAATCATTTCTGGGATAAGTTTTATTAAAGTGAGCATTTCCAGTCTCCACCCCCACTCTCCCACCCATCCACACACACACCTATCGCACCCTCACCAGCTAAAAGATT